TTTTCGTGCTCAATAAAATTTCTGAGCAGAGAATGGTGTTGCGAAGTATTACACTGTTAAAAATTTTCGCATGAATTTTCCGTTTCAAATCCCGAAAATTTCCATCATATTTAGTTTCCCCTGAAGTGTTTTCAGTGCAATTCAGGGAAATTCAGGGAAGAATTGAAAATTCATGCCATTTTGTTTCTGGATATTTATTTCCATTAAAAATTCAATCAAATCGTGAACTTTCCGTCTCACTGTCCCTGAAAACTCATGAATTTCCTTGAATTCTGCCTAAAACTTGAAATTATACTTCGTGTCTTGGCCTTCGAGATTACAAAGGTAGTACAGCTACTTCAGGCTAAATAATAAATAATACTAATAATAAATAATAAATTTCTGACAGTGTATGCTTACAGCCTGTCTATTTATGTCAAAATTTCTCGTGTTATTTTTTGAATTGAATTCTTTCGACAAATGCTCTTTGAATAACTGAATGATGAAGTTAAAATGAAAAATATATTTGCCCTTGTCATAACTGTCACGTGCATTTGTCCAACGCAGGAGTTAACACCATGTGGTGGTGTCACTAACATTTCTGATACACGAGCATATCGTCTGGGTCGACGGAGATAACATATCCTCGAAGGTTAGCGAAACAAAGTAACCTGTTTTTCGCCCTTGTGGGACAGTTAGCTGGGTACTATACTTGTACGGATGATACATGTTACCCCGGGGAAATCTTATGGTGGCACGATTGGATGAATGCCATAGGTGATACTGTACATCTTAAAGAAAATTGCAACATCGAATTCATGGGCGGTTGAAAAACAAACTCGGATTAAAAACTTTTGAGAGTCGAGTTGTGATAAATGATGCCAGTACTCAATTCGTTGTGTCACTTTGTAATTTGTCAACAAAGTTCTCATGAATGTCCTCCTTGGGAGTCTAACCGACCGATATTCCACCGCCCAAATGAAGATTATCTGGCAGCCTTTGACTGGCGCATTTAAACTTCAAAAGCCAGAATGCCAGATTTTAATTGCTCAAAGCTCAAAGCCAAGTTGGCAAATCAATGGGGACTTCATTACAGAGCATTTCAATTCTTCATTCATTATTCTCTGTAACGCTGGGTATACTCCTTTGACATGCCGCTTTCAGTGGGCCTAAAAATCCAAGCCTCCGTAGGGAGTTAACCAACCGAACCTCTTGTAAGTAATCTCGAGGTTGAAAGATTTTCCGGGAGAGCGAGGACATCGTTAGGCAAGCTGATCTCTGTGACGATTTTTTTTCTTTCTTTTATGATTGGAGGCAGTCAAATCTCGCGGTTTCAGCAAACGACATATGCGATTTGTTTCAGCAAGAAGATTGTATGAAGAAGATTCACTTTAAGGATATTCAAGTATCTTTTACAGTTCGGTACAAATTCAACTACTTTTAATCATCAAATTTGACAATTCAATTGCGTACCAAAAATTTGAAAAAAATCGTGAATATTCAAATAGAGTTGCATCCCGAGTCGAATAATTGGATCTGACAAGTTCTACTTAGGTCTTTCCGTTCAGAACTAGATAGGTCTTGGGAAGCCTCTTCCCAAGTGCTTCCGAGACCTTTCTACCTCTGGTTATGTCCCATTTCAGCACTTGTTAGGTGTAAGCAGGACTTGTATTCAGACTTTCCAAATCCTTGCCGGTCCCCGTAATTCTATGGGCCTATATTAAATCTGCGTTCATATCCCTGTTTACTCATGCGTTATTGAAATAAAAAATGCAATTATTGTTTTTTTAATCTCGAAAATCGACATTTCACGAGAGGGTGGAGGGGAGATGCATGTATGTGGAGGCTTGACATTTTTACCCAACAAGGGGAGAAGGTTGCAGAATCTATTCTAGCCACTCTTGTCCCTACGCTTGCATGCATTATCCAAATAAAAAATGAAAGTGTTAACAAATGTGACCATTGATCCAAGTAAAAACCGAAAATCTGACCCTGTGACACTTTGGCCCTCGTGACCCTTGTGACCCTTTGACCGACTTTCTCCCTAAAAAAATCCAAGACCTGGCCCTTTGGCTACGGGTGAAATTTTCTTTTTTCAGTTTTCACTTTTTCCACATACTTTTGATAGTTCTGAATAGCCCGGCGCTTAAATAGTTGGAATCAACGTTCACCCGGCTTACAAATTCGATTTTGGCGAAAATCCACTTGCCCCGGAAAACCCGAAAATCTGACCTTTTAGCTGGGGCCAAAAAAAACGGTTTCTCAGTTTTCACTTTTTCCACATACTTTTGAGAGTTCTGAATAGCCCGGCGCTTAAATAGTTGGAATCAACGTTCACCCGGCTTACAAATTCGATTTTGGCAAAAAATCCAAGATCTGACACTTTGACCCTTGTGACCTTTGGACCGACTTTCCCCCGGAAAAATCCAAGATCCGACACTTTGACCTCCGGTGAAAAGAAAATTTTTTCATTTTTCACTTTTTCCACATACTTTTGATAGTTCTGAATAGCCCGTCGCTTAAATAGTTGGAATCAACGTTCACCCGGCTAAAAAATTCGATTTTGGCGAAAATCCACTTGCCCCGGAAAACCCGAAAATCTGACCCTTTGGCTGGGGCCAAAAAAAACGGTTTCTCAGTTTTCACTTTTTCCACATACTTTTGACAGTTCTGACTAGCCCGGCGCTTAAATAGTTGGAATCAACGTTCACCCGGCTAAAAAATTCGATTTTGGCGAAAAATCCAAGATCTGACACTTTCACCCTTGTGACCCTTGGACCGACTTTCCCCCCGGAAAAATCCAAGATCCGACACTTTGACCTCCGGTGAAAAAAAAAATTTGAAAAAAAAATGTTTTCCTCAGGTATAAAATAGCCAAAGTACTGGGACAACCTTAATTTTTCTCTTCATTTAAATCATACTCATAGATCTCGCAGCCGATGACGAAATACATTGTCACTCCACGGCAGAGAGTAGTCTTCAATAAAAAAAATAGAATATGCAAATCTGGTTTTTGTAAGGGACTACGTTCCATAAAACATTTTCAATACAAAAATAACCTTAAGCAATCCTGAATTTTTATGTTGCATATTTCGGGTAAATATCTCGGGGGGAATGTACAACTGGATAAATCGAAACATTTCCAAACTAAGCCCCTGGAATTGTTTTACATGAATCATTTCCTCCTCACCAATCCGAAACTTGAAGGAATTCACTGAAAAAACTCTAATATGTTTCGATCACACGTGAAAAACCATTTGATTTGAGCTGATGCATTTTTCAGGCATTCGCACGCTATTAATCATCGACAGGTATTATCGATTAACGAGCGTGAAGTGTCAGGGGTAGCACCCGACGAGCCATAAATATGGTATATCGTGCCGTATATAATCCGGTATCGGGTATAACCCAAAAATATACATACGCATTTTATATCTCTACGTGTGTATGCAGAGGTCAGGGGGAATTTTTTTGCTCCCCACTCGCACTACTACTAGTCTCGATGAAAAACAGTCGTCAAGAGTCCTGGGATTACCTTTTAAAAATGCATAGCCACCCCTACCGCCACCCCTCTCGCCGAAAAAAAACCTCTTTTATGCCCCAGAAGTTTTCTCCCGAAGGCAATTTATTGAGATAGCAAGTTCTGCCGAGCCGCTCTCTAACGAAAATAAAAATGTTATAGCGTTTTTCATGCATTAAATCACGTTAAATCACTCGTTTAACATCAGCATAAGTGACCCATTTATTGCATCTTGGGTATACCAACTCCAGGCTGTGGAATTTAAATTTTTAAATCTGCTTTTTTTGAAAATTCCAAGTAGACTGGTTGAACGCGTGTGCACACTGGTAGAATGGATTAATTATTGCCCCGAAATTGATTCGATTGAAACCTGGGGTCTATTCAGTCTCTTCAAATGTGCAGTCGTTGATAATTAACAAATGCACATTTAAAGCCTTTTGTTTGACATAATTTGTACTTTTCAAATGAGCCATTCGTTAACTATTGATGAATATTCGTTTGATCGTATTCAACTCTACCATTTGCTAATAGTTAACGAACCTTATTTATAATAAATGAATCATCCGATCAGTGCACCGATAAAAAAAAGTTACTTTCGCGGAATCCTTTTTTGGGAGAAGAATTAATTTTTTTAGAAACGATTTTTTAGACATTTTCTTTCGTAAAATTATTTGGAGTAATTCTACCTATTAATAATTGTCAGTGGAGTTCATTCAGGGTCGTATATAGCATAATCATCCCATAATTCAACACAATGGTAATATTTAGAGAAAGACTTGGACCAGCTGGGAATATGCTCCTAAAAAAATAAATTCTTCTCCCAAGAAAATAATTCCTTGGCGAAATTAATTTTTTTTTCATAATTTTTTTGCAATCTTGAGTGTACAAGTGGAAGAGCAAATACTTCTGACGATTAAATTATGCACCAAGGATTGTAGGCGTTCTCCTAATTGGATTGTTTGAAGAGATGCAGTTTTTTACGATTGGTGTATAACACCTGCCACTGCAGAGATGGATGAGAATGCGGATGTAATAAAATTCTGTGAACGAAAAAAAAACGTTTTCTATGCTTTATTAATATAATAGTAATAATAATATTAGTAATAATAATATTGCTCTTTGTATTCATCTTAAACTAATTTTCATATTTACTTTTCATGTATAATTGACCATTTCAATCTTCCAATATTTCACAATTTATTATGTATAGTTGACAAATTCCGGGGATTTCCCATGACCCGGTAATTAACAAAATTGCACTGTATTGAATTCCATCGTAAGGCAAGTGATCAACAACGGAGTGTTACATATGTTTTCTCAAAGAGTCGCGTGCTATATGAATACAGCGCAGACTACATTATCAGATAGGTCAATAGATAAGCTGACATTTTAGTGGCAGAAGGAAGAATGTACGCAGTTCGTACACGGAGAGAAATTCTTTAGAAAAATTTAAAAGCGAATACTAAAAAAATCACAATTGACCGTCTGTGAAAAATCCGAGTGCTGTTAAGGTAAAATCTCTAAGGCTTTCTGGTAAAATTTCTAGTGATTTCAGTGAAAAATTCATTTAATTACTTCGCGCCCTTTTGCCCGTGCTATCACTACAATTTTTCGAGAGTAGTAATTTTGACATTCTTTGATTGAAACTCGTTATCACATTTTTTCGAACAACAGCTTTGCGTTTTCATTGTTGTTCAAGCACTTGAGGTAATCTTCATATTTGTTGTCCGTGATTTGACTGTCCATTACTAAAAAATGGAAGAAGACATTATGAGAACATGCTCACGCATTGTCTGATTATGAATTTTCTACCTTCATCTGCGCACTGCTTATATCCACTAATAATTTTCAAAGCCCTCTCTGCATGTTCAGACTTGACGATGAAGAATTCATCTATTTTAGTCTTGTCAATGACGCCTTCCTCATTGATCTGCAAAATGATATTTTTTAAATACTTCAATAAAAAATTGAAAGTCTCAATAGTTTAAATTTTGATACATACGAAGCCCCGTCGCTCCAACTCACGCACGTAGGGCTCTTCTCGACGAAAATGAATGCAATGAAATAAACGAAATACTTAGTTAATTAGGCTCAATAAATTGTAAATAACACTTGATATTTTTATTGACATGACTGATGGACGTACGGTGTTGCGAGGGTGTGTTGTAGCGCGGTGGCCCACGGCAAATGATGGGTGGTCGTGCATCAACGAAAGCGCCAATCTACACTCAAATTATCCCAAATAAATCCTCAGTATAAATTTAATAATACAATTCAACTTACCCATGCAATACCGCAGACGAGAATGAAGACGAATAGTTTAGTTATCATTATATCCCACAATTGATAACCCAAGTGTTCGAGAACGCAGGTGCGCTAGGAACGAGAAATTACGCCTGTCTCAAGTGCCTAATGCAGTCAGAGTTTTTGTGAAAATATAAGTTAATGGAGATAAACTCTAACACTGTCTTGTGAGCTGACAGCACAATTTCTCTTTCTCAAAACGTTCAATCAATTCTGGGGGCGAATAAGACAACATCTTCCTGAATTTCATTTTATTTTCTCATACATTCATTTATTTCATTTATGTATGGAAGAAAGTTACTTATTGGGAGATCAATTCCGCGGAGAGTACAACATTTGGACATTCTCGTTGCTGTCTACACACTGAATGTATGCGTCAAGGTTACCATTGCGTCCTTCGGCGATCACTATTGAAGAATCGAGGAGAATTAGTATTAGAGTATGATTCGCATGCTTGACAAAAGTATAATTACATTACAGTATTACATTATTAATTACAGTTTTATTAGTATAATTTAATAACCATGTCCTGATTTTTTCAAGTAAAGATATGAGTATTCCACATGAAGAGAAAAGTTGGATAAAAATTACGTAGAAAATCGTGGCAAATTTTACCGTGCGAAAGGTAATCGTGGAGCGGGTTGTAATGCAATAAAAAATACATATCGGCAGACGACGCACTGATAGAATGATTCATTTATTCCAAACGAGATTCGTTAACTATTAACGAATGGTAGAGTTGAATATGACTAAATAAATATTTGTCAATAGTTAATGGTGAGACCACATAGACCCTAGCCCCCAACCAAATCAATTTGTTAACAATAACTAATTCTTTTGAATCAGTGCGTTTCGCGATGCGTTCGATAAAAAAACATATCAGTAGCGAAGTGGTAAAGCAGTTTAAGTCGACGTGTCTATTAGTTGAGTTTTTGAAGAATACCTCCGAATCTAAAGGTGTTAATGGAATTTTCGTAATAACCTTTTTTCTAGAGAAAATTGAGTGCTACAAAAAAGGTCTTAATAGACATTTAGCTATCTTCCTTCAGTTTCGACATATTCACTAAAAACTGGCCAATAGTTAAAATCGACTTAAACCGTTTTACCACTTCGCTACTGATATCTATGAATGCAATAATTATATCCTCCTGTATAGTAAAGTTTCTCACACCGGTAGGGTATTTTTTCTTGCACTCATCTGAAGGTCAGTGGGACGAATGGAAGTGAAATTTTACCGAAGGCGTTGGATCAAAAATCATTCTCCATTACAGAAAAATTATACGCAATTACGAGCAATCATTCACATTCACTGGGATAATTTTCTACAGAATGCAGGGTAAATTTTACAGTTTCGGCACAAATTACCGTCTCGTTCAGTAAATTTCGCGTAAGTTACGATGAACCATGATAAATAAATAAATATTACCTTTGTCTACGCAGTGTTTTAATCCCCCAATGATTTCCGGCAAATTCTCTCGATGCGTCCAAGTTGCAAACTCTTCGTCTATCTTATCCTTCACGAATTCGTTTTTGTCGTTCACCTGTTGATGAATTTATCCGGAAACCGTTCATCAAATTGAATGAAATGTATACTTTATAAATTTAGTAAGTTACTCCGTTCAGTACGATCTTTACTCAAATACTTACGAATCCATGTCTCAGCAACTCTTCCACAAGATAACCTACAACATTATATGCACATGAAAAATTAACGATTAATCATGAGATTCTCTTACGAAATCAATGTCTTCTGAAAAATTTAAGTAGAAAAACGTCCTCTGGATTAAATATTTAAGCGCTTCATGTGAATTATTGTAATTGAGAACTCGACAAATAACGATGTAAACATGTCACTTATATATATTATATGTATATTTTTGTGACGTTTTTCTAGCAGAATAAACCGAATGGTTTGAAATCTATAAAAAAATCATGAAATTCGTGAAAAATCGTGCCGTACGTACTGTTTTGTGATGAGGGCCAGCGCAGGTGACTTCTAAAAACTTGAGGGCGCTTCCCATCAACAAAATCGCCATTCTAAATTCAAAAATATCATCAAGACTGAATTTCCAGGGAGAAACTGATAACATTAATGAAACTTACCAACAAGGCAACACTAATGAAGATCAAAATATATATTTTTGCTGCCATTTCAATCCGTGAATGGCGGCTCAACTGCTCCGGAACTCGCGAAACTACACTGTATGAGTTGAATCTATCTGGTGGGAGGTACTGTGTCTCTCAGGATTGACTGTTATGTTACTGACAATTTCAAAATAGTTTCATTAGTTAATTCTGTTTTCCCCTCAGCTTGTGATGAGTGAAGCGAGTGGTGGAATTCAACTTGTAATAGATTGCTGAAATAGTGGGGCTATGAAGCTTTTTATCAAAAATTTATCTTCAAATGACGTAGACGATAATTTTAATGATACACTGAGAGAAAAATATGATTCTTCTGACTATATTCCATCACCATCGCACTATAGTCAAAAAGTCCTCAATAATTTCTCATGGGTTACGGTAACTATGGCCGGAGAAGTGATTACTACAATGGAATATAGTCATTGCTACTATTTTATAGTTCTCCTCACGATAGATTTGTCGTGGTTACTTTTGAACTTTGGTTAGTTTAACTGCATTTTGATTTGCAAAAATTACGCTAAATTACTATAATGTTAGGTGCCGCATACAAAAATAAATCGTATCGTTCACCAAAACTGCCTCAACTGTTTTCTTATAGTAAATTGAACTTCAGATTTTTCTCTCAGTGTAGTTGTTTATTTTTAATCCAATGTACTAAATACTTATCGCAGCCCCATTAATCTCTTTCATTAGCCTTCTGACCAATAGTTGGGCCATTTGAGAATAACAATTTCCAAGTGGAATCTCCTTCTGATTTATCACGAATGATTAATTTCTGTCCTCCGATTTCAGTCAAAGACTGGTATGTGCAGGGTTATGAAAGAAATAAATGGGAATTTCATATCTTTTTTTTTCTTCTTCTCCGTCTATCTTCACATACACTTTGATATAAAGAGGAAGCACCTTAGAATCACGAAGGATCCGCTTGTTTTCACTCGTGGATGATTTTCAGTTGGAAACGAGCGTTTGAAAATAATATACGAACGGTTGATCAAAGTGATTTTAATGACTGTCAAAGGAACTTGTGAATTTCTTTTTAACTGAAAATAAAACTTCTGAGATGAAGTTTTCATTTCCTTCTTGAAGCCTGGAGGAACTACTGCGTGAGATATTATTACTTGTGTGACAATATTTCAACACTACACGTACATTATTAGATTTGAATATGTGGAATCTGTGGACAGATTTGAATAAATAATGGAATTCAACCGTAATTCTCATCTTCTGGAGGAATATTTTTCCAGTGAATATTTGATAAAAATAAATCAGTAGAAAAATTTACCCCTGGATTCAAAGCATTACTGATAAAAAATGCAGTGATTCTAGTAAAAATGATAATATTTTTAACCAAAAATATTGAGCTGTACAATTATTACATTCGAGGAGTAATTTTCTATAGAATATTTTTCTTCCATTCATAATTACAGAATGTTCCAAGAAATTGTGGAACGCTGGGAACGAGGAATAAATTCTCTGCAAATTTAAGACTTACGAAAACTGCAATTATTAAAATGGCATGAGGCAATTTGAAGCAGCCAAGACTTGAATCTTGGAGATTGAGCCTGTAAATTGTATTCTACTTACAATGAAGTGTATCGCAGAGCCAGATTTATTCTCACATCGTGTGTTTCCGCATTTGTTTTCAAAGATATTTATAGTTTTTTCATTTGAGCGTTTTTTCCGTCGGGGTATATACTCTCTTGGAATTTCGGTTGAAAATGTTTCTTATCTAAACGATTACCGATGCTAAAAAATACCGGCGAGAACATTTACTTAGGGATACATGAAGACTTGAAAATATTTACGAGCGCAGTTTAGCTCGGAAGGATGAATTTGTCCGATCCGGATGACTGCATATCGTCCTTATCTCCTTAAGAGAGGGAGTGAGAATGAGGTGGGGGNGGGGGGGGGGGCATTATTGGAGTCTAACTGGCACAAGTCCAAAATACCGAACACGTTAACAGTGCGACTGTGTGCGAGGGTGAAGGAAATAAAATGCTGGAAAAAATGGGAAAGAGTGAACGAAGAAAGAATGACGTAGGGTCGGATCACATATAGGTTTTGGTGGGTGCATTGTTCGATATCCCAAGCGAGAAGCCGCGGGCTTAATCGCTCGAGTTGACCGCGAAAAATATGGGCGGCCTCCGAAACGGCTCTGGCTTATCGAGAATTTATTTCACAACGTGACGACTACCTCTGGCGGTTTAGCGCTAGCTTTTTGACACTGAAATAATTTTCTTCATTGAGTGTATGTTTGTATTCTCTTTTTTCGGGGGATAATTAAAATTTAATTGAGAATACAATAGTTGATGGATTGAAATGAGAGAGATTTATGCATGGAAAATAGCAAAGTTAATTGAAGAAATGAAATTGAGGTTGTATTCACTCCTTGACTTCGATTTTTGGATTCGGGAGTAATTCGATATTACGAGGTAACGTAATGATTTTGAAGTCTTAATTTCGAGTAACAAATTTACATCACCAGAAGTCGATTCCAATTTTTATATTACAGAGAAATTTATTATTCATTCATTTCACAACGTAACAGCTACCTCTGGCGGTTCAGCGCTGGCTTTTCGACACTGAAATAATTTCCTTCATTGAGTGTATGTTTGTATTCTCTTTTTTCGGGGGATAATTAAAATTTAATTGAGAATACAATAGTTGATGGATTGAAATGAGAGAGATTTATGCATGGAAAATAGCAAAGTTAATTGAAGAAATGAAATTGAGGTTGTATTCACTCCTTGACTTCGATTTTTGGATTCGGGAGTAATTCGATATTACGAGGTAACGTAATGATTTTGAAGTCTTAATTTCGAGTAACAAATTTACATCACCAGAAGTCGATTCCAATTTTTATATTACAGAGAAATTTATTATTCATTCATTTCACAACGTAACAGCTACCTCTGGCGGTTCAGCGCTGGCTTTTCGACATTGAAATAATTTCCTTCATTGAGTGTATGTTTGTATTCTCTTTTTTCGGGGGATAATTAAAATTTCATTGAGAACACAATAGTTGATGGATTGAAATGAGATAATTGAGCAAATGAAATTGAGGTTGTATTCACTCGTTAACTTCGATTTTGGCATTCGGCAGTAATTCGATATTACGAGGTAACTTGATGAAGTACTTTCTGTGGTGCAGAGAAAGTATGGGAATTTTACACGAATTATTGCAGAGCAATGTCAGACGATTTTATCGAAGGCTATTGCAGATTTTATTCATTTTTTTATTATTCGTTTATTTCACGACGTGACAACTACCTCTGGCGGTTCAGCGCTGACTTTTTGATACTGAAATAATTCCCTTCATTGAGTGTATGTATGCATTCTCGTTTTTCGGGGGATAATTAAAATTTCAAGGAGCACACAATATTTGATGGATTGAAATGAGAGAGTGACGCAATGAAATGAAATTGAGGTTGTGCTCACTCCACAAGAATTATTGCAGGTGTTGTCAGAAAATGTCGAAGGATGTTGCAGATTTTGCCAATTGGTCTCAGAGAATTCAGATCAATTTTTAAGGATGTTCTACACCCTTTCTGCCAAAATTCACGTTTTTTTAATTTTTCTGGCAAACTTATGATGGAATTGACGTGAAAAAATATAACGTTTTTGCGTTTTGTCATTATTTAATGACTGACGAAATTTTAAGGTGGTGCGAACATTTTCCTGCGTTTTCTCTAAACTTTTAAAAAGAATCACAAAACTGTAGAAAAAACGCATGAAAATTATCGCACCACTACACAACTTCGTGAGCCATTAAAGAATGACAAACCACAAAATCGTTATACTTTTTCACGTCACTCCCATCGATAATTTGCCAGAAAAATGAAAACAACGTCAATTTTGGCTAAAAGGGTGTCGACCATCCTTAAAAAAATCATTCAATTAAAAATAAAATTCTCTACATTGCCTTCAAAAAACTCATTTCTGTTAAAAATAATTTTCTCCCAAATTCGCGTAGAAAGTTCAAGTCCAACTCAAGGGATACTAACCAAATGAAAGTTCCGAGAGTAGTAGTTGGGATGTAGAAAATTGTGAGTGTGTGCTTGGGTGTGGAGAGTTGGTGAGAACTAACTCGAACGCGTCGCACGGCTTCCGGCGATGTGGCCAGACTCCAACTTTGCAATCAAGGCGCGGTCGTATCTCGCGTAGTTTCGCGCTCTACGAGGATGGAGAATTGAGACGGAAGATATAGCAGTATAGGAGAGAGGGAGAGAGAGAAAGGGGGTAAGCAAGGAGGGGGTGGGGGAATAAGGGCACAGTGGAGGATGAGGGCAAGCTCGGAAACCTCGCTCCGTGAAAATCGAGTAGTGCCGGGACGAATTGCACGGATAACTCTCGTGCGATTCTTGCGGTCGAATTACAAACATGGCCTTGCATGAACCTTCCACTAGAGTGGACTGCAGAAATACCGGTTCCGATATTGTCCTGTGGACACAGCGTTCTTGGAAAATTTGTGGGTTGAACGAAAATTTCTCATCCACAGCTTTGAAAAAAAAATGAGCCGTGTTGTTGAATTATTTCTCATCAAATTGCCATAATTAATTTCATGAAATATGGCGTTCTTTATCCGAATGTTGAGAACTTCTGATATGTCACGGACTGTTAGAAAATCACTCTTGAAATTTCCAGTGAAAAAACTTGAAATTTTTAACAACGACAAAGTTGCATGAAGTTTCTGTACATTTCTTCATTGACGAGTCATTTAATTTCTTGAATATTCAAGTACTTCTCCATTTTCGGGTCAATACGGCACTGAAAAACCTTGAAAATTTTGAAAATTCAAGCAACAAATATCCTGAATTCTCAATCTATTAAAAATTGAATTGTATGTGATGCTCAATTTTCACGATAAGTTTAGAAATTCAACCCTTCATTGAAAAATCAATGATTGTTTAACATGAAAAACTCAATTTTCTTGAATTATCAAGATGAATGAGAAATTTAGTGAAAGTTTTCATTTGAAATTGAATTCAACCTCACAACATCGAAAATTCAGATGTCTCTGTGACTGAAATTTCAACAAATTTCTAACAGTGCGGGGCGTCTTATTTTGATTTGAAAAAAAAATCAACTTTTACGATT